TATTAAAACATATATATATATTCTATGATAATTAAGTTTATAAAGTAATTAGAAGTTTAAAATGATGAAATTGAAGAATAATTTTTTAGCAAAAAATATTTTCAAATAAAATACATAAAAATTATTCTTTTGTATTTATAAATATATATTTTAATCAATCCAAATTCAATATCAATTTTGAAATAAAATGTATCCATCAATATGTATATATTATTGGCTTGTAAAATTTATAAAATTTTATATTAAGTAAGTGATTAAATAATTTATTAAATTGAATAATATTTAGTATTTTTTTAATAGTATTTAGATTTTCATTAAGAAAAAAAAGTATTTAATTTATACTATTTCTTCAGGATTCATTTAAATAATTAATTTGTTTTTATTTTTTAATTAATAAAATTGAAGCAGTCTAAGAAATTATTAAGATGGGAAATACTTCATCTAAAAAAAAATAAATATAATATATCTATTGTTATTCTATCAGTAAAGTAAAATATTTAATCTCATTAATAATTCACCTTTAAAAATGAATTTTTTTTTTTATAAAGTTTGAAAGATAATCTTTTTAATCTATTACACATCTAACGCTAAATTTTGAGTAAAAAATAAATTAATTTAAAATATTGCTTTTCAAATTTAAGAGTAATAACTGACAGATTCTTAAGATCTTCAATAATTTTTATAAGATTTTAAATATTTTATATTTTTAATTATCTATCTTTATACTTAATTTATAGTTAATTAATAAACATTTTTTTTACTTTTTCAAAATAAATTGTTAAGTTTAAAAAATGTTTAGTTTATTTTATATAATAGATTATTTATTTTTATTTTGATTTTTATTAATTTTTCTATTTTTTTTTCTAAAAAAAATTATTTTAATAATTAAAAATTAATTCCATATCATTCTTATTATTTTTTATTTAATTTTTTATGATTCATAAGATTATTTTTATGAATTAGAGATATTTTTAATCTATTTTATTGAAAATAATTAGATATTGTGGTTATGATGATAGCCATGCTTCAACTCTGAGTTCTATTTTAGTGAAATGCATAAATCTCTTGAGTTTAAAGCTTCTTATTGGGTAAATTATAAGTATTTTTATGGATTTTTCCTTATGATTATTTTATATCTAAAAAATTCCAAAAGAACCAAACTAAATAAAAATAAAATTCAAATAATATTAAATTACAAAATTAAAAAAGCTGTTTGTTTATAAAATTTCAAATATATTAATTTAGTTTAAAAATAAATTATTTTCTTATAATATTTTCTTAAAAATATAAAAGCTATAACAAGTTTAGTTCATAGGGTGTCATAGAAATAGTTTCTGCTTTAGTAAAATGCACTAAATTAAGAACTTTGTGGCTCTTCCTATAGTAAAAACTAATTTATTTTTTTATCTTATTTGTGTTGATTTATAAAAGAATCAAAAAACAAAGTTAGTCAAATTATTGATTTTATAATTTATGTTTTTTTTTTTTTTACAGATTAAAAAATAAAATAATATTTAATTTCTTAAGTTCAATTAAATTTATTTTTATTTTTAAAAACTAAAATTTAATGTTTTTAAATTCTTAATATAAAATTAGTTAAAATAATCTTAATTAATAAGGGATGATAAACATAATTTATGCTATAGAAAGATGTCAAAATATTTAGTATTTGCATATATAACTTTAGTAAATATTTTACTTTTTTTTAATAAAGAAAACGAGTGAGTTTTATTCAAATCAGATTCAAATTATTGTTTAGTTAACACTCTTGTTTTGTCTGTAAAAAAATAAAAATGTTTACTTGAGTGAGTAAGGGAAATAGAAAATAAATTCAAAAAACTCATTTTTTGATCTAAAATAATGCAATTTTTTAAATATCCCCATATTTTAAAGAAATAAAATTAATTTGAAGGAAAAGATATATTTTTTTTAAAAAATTAGATTTTAAAAATATTAATTTTAGACATAGATGCTTAGTTAGAAGCATTAATTAATTTTTAATTTTTTTATAGATATTATATCTTATTTTGTTTTTTATTTTTCGTCTACATATTTATGAGAGCAAGCAAATGTTATAGAAAATTATGTAGTTTTTTTATTTTATTAAGTTAATTGATGTTTTATAAAAACAGTGCTTTTTACACATTTGAAGATATATTAAAATTTAGAAGGAAACTCTTAAAAACAAAAAGGTTAGTTTAATTATTCATTCATAGATGATGTTTCATAATTTCTAAAAAATCAATACTCTCTAAATTGTTTCTTATTTAAACAATTGTTTGTTGTATTTGAAATTTATGTTTTGTTTTACGGGTAAATTTAATTTTAGAAAATTAAATTAAGTATTTAATATATATTTTTTAGTTGATTTGTAGTTTATTTTTTACAATAAACATTAGTTTTAATATGGATTAATTGTAATTTATATAAAATTAAATATAAAAAAAATATATAAAGAAGTTAATATGTATTTATTTATATGCTATCAAATGCAAACCTTGTATTTAATTATCATATTTATAAATTTTTTTCAATAATTTATTTAATATTTAATGTTAAATAAATTAATTAATTAATTATTTTTATTTTATTTATATCAACTTAAAAAGAGGTAAATAATTTAATTTTAATATCATAAAAAAATATGGTAAATGATAAAATAGAATAATTAAGTTAAAGTTTTAAGAGATGAAAAATAAATAGCTTTTATTATCAATTTATGTATCATTTTTATTTTTTTAAAACAGTTTTTTTGCTCTCCATTTACTTTTTGAGTATCAATCATCAACTTTTCATTGATTTATAGTAAATTATTTGATTTCTTTGAAAATTATAAAAATATTTAAATAAATATTTATATTTAATTATATTAATAGATGAAAAATATTTATTTAAAAATAAAAGAAAATAATAAATAAAAAAAAATTAGTTTTAAAAATTTTAATTTTAGGTATGCTTGTTTGTTAAGAAGCATTAATTAATTAATTCATTTTTTATTTTTAAGTAAAATTGTTTATTTTGTTTTTTATTTGATATCTACATATTTATGAGAGCCAGTAAATTTAATAGAACATTTTTTACAGTTTTTTTATTTTATAA